TGAAAAGTTGACCACGCTAAATTGATTTGCGTTGCTTCCAACTATAAGTTTCCGACGAGGAGTGAATACTTCATTCGTTCAAAGTTTTGCATCAATACTGCCGGACTCGTCCAGTAGAAGAACAATGTCTCCCTTTGAAACGCACTCCCCTGAGGAAAAAAATTATTTTTATAAGTTTTTGTCAAAGTATTCTTCTTTTTACTTTCATGTACGAGGGGTGATCCAAAAGTAATGTCTCTGTGTCCATATATTTTATATTTGGTGTCATATTATCAAATACTGGAGTATAATATACCAAAATATGCCCAAATATAAATCTAATTCAACTTACATTTTTCAGTGAATAATGTTTAATTGAATTTATGCCCTGTTCACACGGTGAGTTTAATTCGCAGTAAATTAATGTGAAATAAACTAATGCGAATTAAAATAATTCGAATCAAATTGCGTTCACAGCTTAAGTGAAGTAAACTAATGCAAATTAAAATTTATTGCAATGTGCGTTCACACGGAGAATTTAATGCGAATTAGTTTACTTCGAATTAGTTTACTGCGCATTAAATTACTTCGCATTAGCTCCGTGTGAACGCTAAGCGAAGCTAATTCGCATTAAATTCTGACGCATGCGTAACGGCAAAATTTAGTCAAATGCCACTTGTCGGTGGTCAGCTATAGGTACTTGTGCTATTTTTGAGTGAAAAACTAAGGAAAAGTTTGTAAATCATTAAAATGTGTATACAGACACTTTGCCAATAGCCTAATGGACCTGCTTCAGCATAAGGTGACGTGATTTGTAAATGACGTCATAATAGCCGTGCTGACGCCAGGCTGCAGAAGTAAAATTTTAATTCGCATTAGTTTACTTCGCATTAGCTGTCGTGTGAACGCAATTTAATTCGCATTAGTTTGATTCGCATTAGTTTACTTCGCATTAATTTACTGCGAATTAAATTCTCCGTGTGAACAGGGCATAAATATAATTGACGATATCGTTGCACAAATGTAGAACGATTCAAGATGCCTCACTTTGCCTTAGAAATTCTTAAAATGCTTGTAATGCAGTAATTCGCGCCTTTTTCTCATGGGTTATCATACTGTGGTTTGTAGAAATAAATTGAGTCAGATTCTAGACCTCATATATGGATAACTTGTATTTTGACTGAAAATTTAGAGTTTTTATTTTCTATTTCCGACAAAAACAGATGTCAGTAGGGTTCTGTATGAAAATGCTCGTGATTACCTTTACATCGGAAAGTGTCCGATGCATGGTTAATTTGTGTCCGATGTACGGAGAAATGAACATACTAGTATAAACCAGCTTTAAAAAGAATTTTACAAATATTGAAGAGAAAACTCTTTAAAATTTATGTAAAATTGCCAGTCTTTGATCAAATTCACCAAAGTCTGACCCGTTCCGTTGAAGTCGAATTTAAAGAACGATAACTCTAAAAATTGCAAAATCATAAATTTCTGGTTATTCCCCTTTGATGATGTAAAATATGACGTAACTTCAAGGCCATTATCGGAGTATTTTTATCACAATATGATAACAATCGGTATCATTAAAAAATTTAAATCTTCATCTTTAAGGCAGAAACAAATAAATACACGGAACTATTAAGTTGAAAGCGAGTTTATTGCCTAAAGTTGTCCGAAGCAAGGTATGTGTCCGATGCATGGTGAATTCACCCTAAGTGCCGAGTAAAAGTCAAACTTTGAAGCCCTTCACTGGTATATGGTGATGTCTCTACATGAGTGAAATATTCTCGAATGGGACGTAAAACAATCAATCAATCAATGACTGATATGGAGATAACGAACAGTATTCAATATCAACGTCCATAAAACAATACAAAATGGGAGCAGAGCAAACACGGACATCCAAAATATCAGAGGTTGGATCAGGTGCCATGGAGGAGTGAGCATCCCTTGACGACTGGTAACACCCACCGTGTGCTCCTTGTCATAATAAAAAAAAACTGGAAAAAAATCTTCATTCTTTATGATACTGTTGATGTCATAAGACACTTTAGCTTTTGGGCCAATTAACCTCCTTAGATAGTTTCATACGATGCATTTCCCCTACGAGTTATTTCCCTTGCCCGCCGTCTTCATGGTCAATGTGGTAATTTTTCCTCTTTGTTTTACCAAATATTAGAGGTTGTAGCAGAAATATTTATCAGAAAAATCAATGAAATGAAATGTATTGTAAAATAAAGAAGGCTATAGTTAATGTTTATTTTTTCAGAACAACACTGCTTCCTGCCACACAATTGCTAGTTTAGAATGTTAAAGTTGGTTGAATAATGAAGAAATATTAGTATGTTGACCTCCTGTATGGCCAACGGGAAATAACTCTTGTTAATAATGGTCTACGGAAAACTATCTATTACATTTAGCATTATATCAAACCTGTTTGCTCATAAATAAGAAAATAGAGGCCCATATTGTAAAGATTGTCAGTTATTTCTGTCAAATCTCTATATTTGGGAAGATAACGAAAGCAACATGGAACAGAGGAAACAGTGTATATTATTTAGTAATAATCCTTTACACTTATAAAAGTGTACAAAAGTGTATACAAAAGAAGAAAAGAATTCTTGGAATAACTCTGTCATGTCTGTATCTTTTTGATTAATGACTTTTATCCTGCGTCGATTTAATAAATTTTGGAGATATACAGCAATAAGATTTATAGTTCTTTGAAAGGAGATACAAATGTCATTAAGTGGTGATGTATAATGATATATTTCTTTACACAGATACTTAACATTCATTTCCTTTAATTTTCGCGCCATTTAATTTAAAACTATCACATAGACTTGATTAGATATTAGATCAAGACAGTACTTTCACTCCTCATAAAAATATTAACTCCTAGTGTTGTAATAAAGACATTTCAGAGACAGAGACACAGCTCTAGCACATTTTTAAAAACTGCTGCTTACAAAAATGAGGAATCCCCAAAAACTCAAAACAGATTTTATAAAAATAAAAAAAAATTACACAAAGTCAGTAATAGCATATAAAACTTAAATTTACAGTGAGACAATGTACACAATTCGTACAAGAGATCAAAAAGGCTTTTTGATAACATAAAAAACTCTTTCTTAAATGAAAATGGAAGTAGAATTTTTTTTACAACAACATTTTGTACAAAACTCTCTCATAGATAGATCATTGTTCGTTCGTTATTGTCACTTTTCTCTAAATTTAAATGTGCTGAAAACAAATGTATAAAATTATTGAGATGTCTTCTCTTTACTTCTATATGAAATTTATTAAGATGACGAGAAATATTGAAACTCAGAAGTCTATTAAATAATACAAATTTTGGAGCAGCCTAAACAATGTCCTCTGAAACATCAGAGGCGGGAATAGGTGCCATGTAGGGGAGAGCATCCTGTTAAACCCGCCATGTGCTCCTTGTCATGACGAAAAATAACAGAAAAATATTCACCAAGCCCTCATAAATGTTTTCTTCGATTTAAATTTGTTTAAATAAGACTATCATATACACCCCATACTTAGTTGAGGTATAATGTGAAATCCTTAAAAGGAACACTTGTTACGTGGTACATAGTTTCTGCCCTGTCCGTCCGTCTGTCTGTCGATTGGACTATTTACCCGCAAAAACTTTAACCTTGTCCATAGCTTTTGATTGGGTGGGGATATTTCTTTCATTTTCGTTACTTTTCTTTAGGTACGACCAAATTTAACCTCTTGACCTTGTAGTTTGTCCTACTTTAACCAAAAAAAAAACACTTTTAGCCTTGGCCATTAGTTTTCTACAGTTCAAGCTAAGGCTTTCATACTTCACATGTGTATTTATTATGACAAGACCTTTCAGTGGGTATAAATGTATTTGTTACATTTTGACCTTGACTTTAGAGTTTGAACAACTTTTTAAAGTACTTTACCTTGGACATATCTTTTCACAGTTTAAGTCGTTGTTACAAGCTCTTCCTTTGAGTACCAACACTTAGAATGATTAAAGACAATGTTTTGTGTTTTTATTTCATTTTTTATTTCCTATTTTTTATACTTTTAATCTTCATTGTATCGTATCCTTTTATTTTATGTATGTATTACATATTGTTCACATGGTTAGTAACTGAATTCAGAATAAAATATCCGGATTTGTTTACTGAATTTTCAGTTCTTACAAGATTTATAGACTGCTAAATACAGCTTAAAGGGGAACCTTTATAACACTTTCCAGTGCTAAAAGACATGGTATGTTGACATAAATTAATTACAAATCATCTCTTCAGACTAATTACATTCCATAAATGGATTATTCAAAACTTTTAGAATAATTTGATAAATGCCTCTAATCGTACAATTAATCATATTAAAATATTGCTTTAGCATTAAAATCTCATTTGAAATTCGCTCTTTACTTGGAGAGAAGAGAAATAAAAATATATCATGTTATAGAATGCAAAAAAAAAAAAAACGTTTGAGTTAGGCTATTCATAGTCAGCGGATCTGGAGAAGGCAAACAAACAATTTTTTAAATATGACGCAGTCTACTTAATATACTAGTTATCATAACACAATCTATAGGCAAAAGGAAACTCTTATAACAAGAAGATTTAATACAACGAACCATCAGCACAGGTTCCATTTGACAATTCGTTTGCCAACAGTCGCAATAAATCAAACGTGGTCAGATACGTGTAGTCGTTGTGGGTAGCCACTCATCTGAGCACAGCAGAATTTATTCCAGTTCCTACCCCGACACAAAATATCGTGACCCCAATTGCTTTTAGTTGTTCGGGCTGGTTGGAAAGGGAACTTTGTCCATCGGTAATTAGAACAGCAATTCTTGCCGAATCATTTCTTGCTCCTCTGGCGGAACTAAAAGAGTACATCCGGGCATAATCAAAGGCACTTCCTATGCTTGTCCCGCCGCTGGAAAAAGAAATGGAAGATATGGCAGATTGAAGACCAGACACTGTGTGATATCTGTTGAGTGGAAATATCTCTCTAGAAGAGTACGCAAAATTGACCACACTGAATTGATTTGCGTTGCTTCCAACTTTGAAGTTACCGACGACGGAGCTGACAAATGACTTCATTCGTTCAAAGTTTAGCGATCCAATACTTCCGGACTCGTCCAGTAGAAAAACAATGTCTCCCTTTGAAACGCACTCCCCTGAGGAAAACAATTGTTTTTATTAGTTTTTGTCAAAGTATTCTTCTTTTTTACTTTCATGTACGAGGGGTGATCCAAAAGTAATGTCTCTGTGTCCATATATTTAATTTTTGGTGTCATATCATCAAATACTGGAGTATAATATACCAAAATATGCACAAATATAAATTTAATTTAACTTACATTTTTCAGTGAATAATGTTTAATTGAATTTATGCCCTGTTCACACGGTGAGTTTATTTCGCAGTAAATCAATGCGAAATAAACTAATGCGAATTAAAATAATTCGAATCAAATTGTGTTCACAGCTTAAGCGAAGTAAACTAATGCAAATTGAAATTTATTGCAATGTTCACACGGATAGTTTAATTGGAATTAAACGTAAAGTTACTGCGAATAAGCTTCGCTTAGCGTTCACACGGAGAATTTAATGTGAATTAGTTTAATTCGAATTAGTTTACTGCGCATTAAATTACTTCGCATTAGTTCCGTGTGAACGCTAAGCGAAGCTAATTCGAATTTAATTCTGACGCATGCGTAATGGCAAAAGAAGAAGGTATGGTTTTAGCTTTATTGCGCCCTAAAAATGTAATGACATCAAAAAGTTTTGAAACTGGCTTAAATATTAGTTAAATAAATGACTCTGATAAATCAGGAAAGAATATGGCATGAAGGTTTACCATTCTGCAAATATGACGTCATTCATGTGAAGCATTTCTCTATTTTCAACAGAACAAGCCTCAAAATGGCACATTTCAAGGGTGATTTTC